ACCCTCAGACCTGTTAAGCCCGCCCCACGTGCCTCTTCACCCAGGCAAATATATCACTGGTCGGGCCAGCTCCGCTCGCGTGTTCTCAGAGGCCTGATGGTTACTAGCGGATGGCGTGAGTGCCCGGAGGTGGACTTGGTTGAGACTTGGGGTTGTCACAGCCCACCTAGGCCCCTTGTTTCTGCAAACTACAGATGACGCAGGGCTGGCTGGTCCTGTACAGGACGCTGACACCTGAAGGCTCCCGCCCAGGAAAAGGGCCTGGTGAGCGAGGCGGGCAGTAAACATAACAATTATGGCCTCCTACGATTACAGCGATTATCTGCCAGGTAATTGAGCCTCCCCTAGCAGTGGCTCTCATTTAGGACTAGCTGACTCTCACCTGCTCCTCGCAGGTGAGTAGGCAGCCGACAGGCCCTGCAGGTGGGGCCTAGTCGAGGTGTTTCAAACTCAGATTGAACCAGAGAAGGCTGGGCCTGGGCTGAGGGCTCCATGTGCCCTGTGGGGGCTAGGCACTGCCGGCTTTGGCCCAGCAAGTTGACCCTGAGGTCCCTTCCCAGAAGCCATAGGGCTTCTTCCTGGAGACAGAGGTGCCAGGCTGCCAGGAAGCACAACCCTTGGGAACAAAGTGTGGGTAAGTGCATCCCTGTGAGGAGGTGCAGGCTGGCAAGCCTGGGCATGCCTTCTCCGGGGACCTGCCTGCCTCGGGTGACTGTCAGCTCTGCTGCCTTTCCCAAGGATCCCAGTGGAACACGCTCTGGTGATCACTCCGCTGAGCTGGATTCTGGGTTTCTCAGAAGCGGTGATGTCAGTGCTCTGCCTCAGTTTCTGTCCTAATCCAGCAGAAGTGCTAGGGACAGTAAGATTTTTGTTCAAATAGCCTCTTGTAGGAAAAAGGACAGAAGTCAGACAGATTAGAGCTGACAGCCCCAGGGAGCACTGCCATCTGCAGATCCCTAGATTTCATCCATTCCCACTGGCTCAACTGGCATGGAGGCCAATACCACTGCGCGTCAAGGTGGACCTAGACTATTTCATCACCCATGAGAACCACACCACACAGAACCTCTCGTTCCCAGGAGGGGTGTCTCTCCCTCCGCCACTCTAGTCTCAACCATGTCAGGCTTGAGCAGGTTTGCAAGGCGCTGTGGTCTTCCCTAGGGAGAGAAGGAAGGGTGCTGTGACTGTACGCAGCTCTGGGCTGACAGATGCGGTTCCTTGTGAAGCCCGGTGGCAGGGGCATAGGGAGGCGTGGCTGGGTCCCCAGGGCAGCAGTACTGTGGCGCACCTCACCGGCAGTGTGCCCGCAGCCTGCTCCTCTGCACCTTGGCAGCATCTGCAACTGTCACTGGTTTTAACTTTACTCCTGATAGGTGTGTGGTAGGGCACTGCTCTGTTTTTGTAGGTCATGGGGCTTGAACTCTGGGCCTGGGCGCTGTCCCTCAGCTCTAAAGTGCTAGCTCAAGGCTAGCACTCTACTGCTTGAGCTACAGCGCCACTTCCAGGCTTCTAGTGGTTTATTGGAGATAAGTCTCACAGACTTTCCTGCCTGGGCTGGCTTTGAACCGCAATCCTCAGATCTCAGCCTCCTGAGTAGCTAGGATTACAGGTGTGAGCCACTGGCGTCTGGCTTCCTTTTATTGCTGTTGGTGGTGTTGGTGTTCATGGAGTTTGAACTCAGGGCCTGGGCGCTGTCCCTCAGCTCTTCAGCTCAAGGTTAGCACTCTACCACTTGATCCACAGTGCCTACCTTTGGCTTTTTCTGTTTATGTGGTGCTGAGGAATCGAACCCAGGGCTTCATGCATGCAAGGCAAGCATTCTACCACTGAGCCACTTTCCCAGCCCCAATACTTTTGGGGTTTTTGTGTTTGCTTGTTTATTGCTAGTCCTAGGGCTTGAACTCAGGGCCTGGACACTGTCCCTGAACTTCTTCTGCTCAAGGCTAGTGCTCTACCACTGAGCCACAGAGCCACTTCTGGCTATTTCTATGTACATGGTACTGAGGTTTTGAACCCAGGGCTTCATGCACACTAGGCAAGCACTCTACCACTAAGCCACATTCCCTGCCTCCCCCTTCCCCATCCCCCCCCCTTTTTTTTTTGTCTGTCATGGGACTTGAACTCAGCCTGGGAGCTGTCCCTGAACTCTTCAGTTCGTGAGCACTCTACCATGGAAGCCACAGTAAAACTCATTTGTTCTGTCTATTTGCCATCATGTATCTTCTTCAGTGACATATCTCCATGCCATTAGCTGACCTTCAAAAATTTTTAAAAGTAATGTCTTAATTTCTTTTTAAATATCTTGAATAACAAAACTTTCCTAAGCTAATTAAACATGTAGTTTATTTCTAAAATTCTCTTTAATTTTCCCAATAGCATATATTTAGTAAGGTTTTGCCTAAATTCTGAGTCCAAGTGATAGCCTTATTGAAATGGCAATTCAGTGGCCAAAAGAGTCCTCTCATAGGATGATTCCTCTTAAATGTTACTTAACTAAAAGGGGTACTGGTGGTTTAAGCCTGTTAATCCTAGTCTCTCAGGAGGCTGAGTTCTGAGAATAACTATTCAAAGCCAGGCTGGAGAGGAAAATCTGTGACACTCTATCTCAATTAACCACCAAAAAAAAAGAGAGAGATGATGTGGAAGAGTGGCTCAAGTAGCTCAGTGCTGCTAGCCTTGAGCAAAGAAGCTTAAGGAGAGTGCCATTTTAACAAAAATTATTTATTTGGGATTTCTGTGTGTCCTGCAGATCAAACCAGGGCCTGTGAACACTTGGCAAGCAGTCTACCACTGACCACAGCCCTGGTCCCTCCTCTGCCTCCCCATACTGAATTTGAAATCCTATTGGAACAAAAAGTGCCTTCACCCAAGGACTCTAATAGCTCTGGAGATCTTTGTGAGATTTCTGGGGGGTCTGTGTCCAGAACCCACACCATTTCTCACAACTCACAGCCCCACCTAAGACTTTGTATTTCTGAAAATAATAAACAGTTTCTGAGTTAGTCTAGAGATCTTTCTTCAACTTGCTGGGATCCTAAAGATGTCCTTTTTACACCCAATACAGTAGAGTCTGCTGTGTCTATAGACTTGGGAGTGTAGCATTCCTTATATGGTTCCAAGGATTTCCTACCGAGGCCTGTCTCAGGCCACTGTGTACCAGAAAACTCACCTGACACTACCGTCCACCACCACCATATGCCTCCTCCTGTCCTGGGAGGGGCCCAGAAGGCCGCGTGCGGGATGGAGGCAGGGGCCTGGCAGGGAGTCAGGGCCGCACCGGGCTCCCGTGGGTGCAGTACTCCTTTCTAGGGCCCGCACCCCTGGCCTGTCTTCCCGAATGCCAGAGGAAGCAGGCCAGACCTGACCAGCCGGGGTCAGGGTGACCGAAGGCCCAGCGGGTGTCTGGTGGGCGTCAGGCACATGGTGCCTCTCCGACGAGCCCCCTTCACTGCCATCTGCGGCGAACAGCCTGCCTCCCCCTGGGGCTGGCGAGCGCGCACCGCCAAAGCAGCGCGGGGCGACGG